CACACCGTCAATTTTTGATAAAATTAAAGGATTTTAAGTGCTCCTTATAGCGCGGAAAATACGGTATGTACTGTGTGTGTTTATCCACAATGCTTCAATCCCAGAAATATTTCCACATTTTAAGCAGGAATCTGTGATTGAGCTTTAAAGCATCCTTCAGGAGCAACTGTCATCCTGTCTCTCAGACTGAATGAAGCAGACAGCAGAAACTTTCTGTCAGAGACAGATGAGCTCAGATGTAAATAATTGGGTTGGCTCTGAAGCACTTTTTCATCTGTCCTAACTCCGTCTCAGCTGGATGTTTACCTAAAATGGCACTTCTTTTTTTTATTGACGCCAGTTTAAGGTGGCATTTTCTCTGAAGCCGCTCTGCGAATTAGGTTTCGAGTGAAACCAAAAGCGAATCAGCAGCTTTCCCCAGCTAATCACAAACCATAGGGTTCCCCAGTGGAGTCCACATTTCCTTTTTTATTAAAAACTATGCAGCATTCAGTATTTTTCAGTTTCCCTGTCATCACAACTTTGCCAGATAATGGTTTTAGGATCAGCCTCGCGACTGTGTTTGATGTGGAAGTATCAGTGGTAATGGAAACTTCAAAGACATAGCTGGCTACTTTGATTCAATGGCATCTCAATTTACTTCACTGGCTTAATGCTCGCACACGCTGTACATTTTGCCATCGCAAAGATTCCAGAGCTTCCATTTGAAGGCCATCTGAGAAAAAGAAACTGAACTAAAATGTGTTCGCGATTCAGCGCACGATTCATTGTGCTTCAGCAACGCAGCCCAAGGCATCAACATAAATAGACCACACGGACACACCTGCATATATATTACACATAAATAGATACTATAGACAGACGAGTATGTGTTCACGATCTCCTTGTTTTCCTCCACAGCTCCTGGGCATGGCGTTCTCCATGACATTGTTCCACCACATTCACAGAACGGGAAAGAAGTATGACGCTTAGCCTTGGGACAAAGCACCGAATGGAGAGGAGCCCCAGTGCTCGATGGGATAAAGACTCTGATTCAAACATACATCCATGCTTTCCCTCTTTAGAGCATCCTTTTCCCCCTTCTCAGATCGTCTGTACAGATTCCAGCTGCTCTGTCCTGCTGTCTCCTCTCACCATTCATTTTGCCAAAGAGTAACACAACTGGAAGAGAAGAGGCACCTACTTTTGGCAAGGAAGAGAATCCCATATGTTGTCCCTTCTCTTGAGTACACTTGTTTTTTGGCTTTTTCTGTTCTTCTTTGGCTTGAACTAACCAATTGCTGGAGGGAAGGACAGACTTTGAGACAATGAAGACTTTACAAATGCCCAAACAGCCCCCACAGGGCGAAAAAACCCACGAAACTGACAAAACCCTCTACGTCATGTGGAGGTTTTTTTTTCTTCATGCTTATTAAATTCTAGCCCTGTTTTTTTTCCCCTTGTAAATGAAAAAGATCCAACATGGCATGCTAGTTTTCTACTTCACTGATTTATCAATGAAATGACCGTTGTTATTATTTTTATTTTAAACGTATTGTTTTCTTGTTGGATTTGCTTTTGTAAGTATATCATCCTGTGGAATGTAAGTGTCGAACAGATCGGTGCAATGTGTGTGTGGGTATGTGTGTGGGATTGGTTTTGAGGTAACATTGCTGCAGACGGGCAAAGGCATGTGAGGATGCAGAGGTTTAGGTGAAACGAGCTTCACGGAGGAGCAATCGCGTAAGCACGAGGAGTCATCGGTTGATTCATTTTACGCCAAACATTTGTCTGCGAACAAACTCGCACACATGCATTTTGTGCTGCCGCGCAGCAGCATCCTCGTTCCCTGTTAGACAATATAAATGATGTAAAATGCCTGTTTATTAGGGCTCCAGCAGCACTGTCAGCTGTAGAGATCTAGGTGATAAAGTCCCCCCTTTGAGAAAGCAGACTGGGTTGTGTACGCGCGTGCATTTTATCACACAGTTCAAGCTGCAGAGGAGAAAAAAACCCACTGAGAAACACTTAGAATCAAGGGCAGGATGGAGCAAAAACTGAGCAGACACGCTGTCTCGTTTCGGCTATCAATAGCATTAACAGAGCCTTTCTATACTGAAGATCTCATCCATTCACGCCGCCCTCCTCGTGCTTTCTCTCGGCGGCTTGCAACTCAACCCTGCCTCTATCTTTTCTTTTTCACTTTAATTTTCTTTCTTCGTGTCAGGCAGCGATGAGTTTCATGCTCCATCCAGTGCTTCTGCTGACATTCCTGCTCATCGCACGTTTACACCTCCGGTTTGCACCCCCCTTCAATTTTACGTAGGCTTCATTTTCTCGCAGCAACCAGAGGTGGGGCGAGATGGGAGTGCGAGAGTGTTGCCAGATCAAAGCTCAGACTGATATGTATGGCAACATGCCCTGTAGGACACATCAGTTTATGTCTGTTTACAGCTACATTCACTGCAGGAGGCCAGAGTGCCAACCTTCCTCCCGGAGACTGAAAATATTCCATCTGCCGTGGCGTCTTCAAAAAATGCCCTCTGGTGTGTCTGCTCTCGGCTTCAAAATCTCCAAAGAAACGGTGGAGTAAAGACCTCGCTTACTGTCAAAGGATCACTGTGGCTTTTGGAATCATAAGGTTGTATTCAGTTGTGACACAGTGCTTTCCAAAGCAAGTGCAATTAGAGATGTGGGAAGATTTTAATCAAGAACAAAGAAACAGCGGTAAATAAGCCGGCCGATAATTACAAAACATTTGTAACAGAATGTTAGCAGATTGTTTTTGCACAAAGGTTTTTACTACAGAGGGAAGATTTTAAAGAAATTGTCTATTTAAGCTGATATTTTACCACAGTTGCGTCTTTACCATCTTTATTTTGAATTTCTGTTACTGAAGTTTTGACCTGTATTGTCATGTTTGCCCTGTTTCTCTTCATCTCATCCATTCAAGTCGATCCAGTTTGTAGATTCCTGCAAGTTTGTTGGACTTCAATTCAGCAGCAACTCTTTCAGAACACAGTAAAAGCTCGTATAACCTTGGAATTGTGGAATCTTTATGATGCAGAGTACTGTACATGCACGAGTTTAGGATTGTGTTTTACCAGAGGCACCTAGTTAAGTCAAGTCTCCCATTTATAGCCTACATCGCCTGCTCATGTGTAACCAGGAGAGCTGAGCTTGGCTACCAGGGAAGCTGCCAATTAAACCTTTACAAATGGTTGCGTTCTAAATTGTTTCCTACATTATAGCTGCAATTAAATTGATTGCTTTGAATGATGCATCAATGAAGTGCTGTTCATTCCTGCTACCTGAACTAACAAAGAAAATAAGCCACTCATTTACTCACGTGCCCCCTTGATGTGAGATGCTTCAGTTGACTAATGCTCCTGAAGTCATTGTTGGCAAAAATTAGTCTGATGATTTCTTCATTTAAAGGATAGTTTTAGGAAGAGAAAGGCAACAGGAAGCAACAAATTTGTGCTGTTTTGTGCAGTGACCCTGCTGGCTGTGATACACTGTCTGCCCCCATATGCTCCAACTCTTCCTGTTGTGTCCATGGGGGAAACATGACAGCTGCTGATGTACAGCGCAGGCACGAGCGATCACGTTTCCTCTGCTCGGCTGCCTCCACAAACTCAACACATCCCTTACTCACTGCCTCGCTCTGCAGACACCTGGCGCTATACGGTAACTGGCGATGTGGTTTGGACACCTTAAAGCACTCGTAAGGTACCCGAGACGGGTCAGCGGAGGAATAGCTCAAACCAATTTGGCAAATGAGGCTGTGCTGTATCCTTACTGCAACAAAAGAAGGTTCAAAGGAAACCCAAGATAGCCACACATATGCAGAATAGTGGGAATAAAGCAAATCCGTTGGGAGGTCAGAGCCTCAGCCTGCAGACGCTGTTTGCTCTCAGCTGATCTGACCGGGGCGACATTTTCTTCTCTGTGTAAAATCCTTACCCCGTTTTCCATGATTACATGATTATGTCAGAGTAAATGTTACATTGTGTTTGTAATATGCTGGGTTGAATGCCATTTTAACAAGGGGGGCTGTTTAATTATGTTTTGTACACTTTTCTGCTGTTTAAATGTTTGTTTTTATACAATATGCTGTTGATTTTCTTGTTGTAGGTTCTGTTTTTATTGGCTTTCCCCCCGTTTGTAGTTCACTTTGAGTACATGACATCATTAAGCATTTTTCCCTAGAGGATTAGTCTTTGCAGTGTTCCTCTACAACATGCAAAAATGCCTTTTCTGTGTTTCAGCGATGCAGGCGGTTAGAGCAATTAACGTAGAACAAATAGAAGGAAAATCTGGCAAAGCCCACAAAAGACATACTGCGCTTTTGTCGTTGTGCTTCTTTGTATTAGGATCAAATTAAATTGAATTAGGACGCGCAGGTATAATCTGCAGTATCTCTGCAAACTGCCAGTGCAGGACCCGTTCTGTACTCTTAGAGCATGAACTGTTAGACGACCGTACAACAGAGTTCATCTCGCTCCAGTGTATCAGCTCGCCGTGTAAATATGCCCATTTTACAAGTGATGTAACTTACTGTTATACCTCTGCCACTTCGCCTAACATTCACATCAACAGGCTGCTTTTCTGACAGCCCGTCAGCCCTTTTTATGCTCATTTACCTACACTCGTACTGTACGTTATCCACTTTTTTATGTCTGCCAGATTTCCTGCCTCTGTTTTCGCTTCGAGCACGAGAGCGGTGTAAATGTTCAGTAAATTTGTGTTTCTGTCAGTACAGTCCTCATATGTTTTTGACTGCATTTTCATCTTTTAGTAAAACATGATTTCTTTTTTTTTTTAATTGATTTTTTTTTTTTGAAGGAGTATAAAATATTCCGTCTCATCCAAGGAAGCACTCCCAGTAAGCCACGGAAATGGTGAAGGAAGGATGCACATGCAGTAATTGGGTTTCGTCTGCTGTGAAAAATTCTGAACATAAAAACTGTTTTTTGTTGTTGTTCCTTTCCTTTTGTGCGTGCGTGTGTGTGTGTGTGTGTGTGTGAGAATCATTTTTTGCCACCTTCGACATATTATTTCTGTAATCTGCTCCTAATCCTTCCCCTGTGCTGAAGCTGAATATGTGAGCAGTGGAAATGTATGCTCTAGAAATGGTGTGTTTGATGTTGTGTTCTGCTGGGTGGCACTATCTGATACCTGCCAGCCTTGTCCTGTGGAGTTTTCTGCTACACGTGAAAGCACTCTGAATATCTATACTAGCTGGTGCACTACTCGCTAAATCAACTATTTTTTAAATAAAGGAAAGAGTGTCAGAAAAAGCTCTCGATACAGTACGCTTATTGCCTTTCTTGTCTAATGACTTGATGCTTCGGATTCCCTTTTTATGTTGCCGTCAATTAGATTTGATTCAGAATTTGTTTGTGGGGTTTGGGGTGCAGTTGAAGACTCGGCGGCATCAGCAGATCCCGTGATACATGATGCATTCTGTGTATACAATCCCTGTCTGAAAATGGGCTCTTTTAAAAAAGAAAAAGCATAACAAAACCTGTGGGACTGATGTCCTAAAGATGCTGAGATGAGCTAATGGTGGTGAGCCAGTCAAGAAGAGGTTTTTTTCTAAAGAACAAAGTGAAGATGATGAAAGTGGGAACCATTGCCAATTTGTCTCACGCTTCAACAGCGCGGAGTGAAAAGCTCAGTATTTGTGTGCAGCTTGATCCCCTCCTTTTAACCTAATTGTTATCGGGCCTGTGTGCGATAGTGAGTGGAGTTTATTGTGCCATTCCACCCAGGCTTTTTTGTTTTTCCATCACTGTTCCTTCTATGCAAAAAAAATAATAATTATGACCTATTTTAGCCTTTGTACAGATTATTTTGTATGAATAACGTACTGAAATAAAGTGAAAAGAATCAATCACGGATACTTTTATTTATTTTTTTTATTTCCCACCTCATCCACCGCACAACTCATTTCATTAACCTGAATTTGGAAGGCTTTCGTTTCAATGAGGCTGCTTAATTTGTCCCCACACAGGACTGCTGAACTCGTTAACCTGCAGTGGAGGTGATCTGCAGGTTGTTTCTGGTACTGCTTGTTCTCACACGGTCTTGTTTCGCAGGGTATGCTTGTCATCTTTTAAACATCACATGCAAAAACAGCACGGCTCATACTGCTGCAGGGTTACTGTTGCTTCCTGTTATTTGTTCTTTTAAACCTGCACTGTGCTTAATAGATCTGCAGGAGCAGGTGGAATTTTAGACACATGCTCTCATTTAAGGGTTTTCAACCATCTAAAGATGTCAAAACTATGCAGGTACGTTGGTTGTTTTATTCAGAGTTCAACACAACACAGCCATGCCATCTCATCGTTTTCACACATCTGGACCCTATTGTTTCTAATTGGTATTTTGCCATGAAGCAGAGTTATGAGTGTTGTATCATATGATCTGTCCTCCACAACCACACAATATGCCACCACCAGTATGGGGTATATTTTGGGATGCAATAACAGAAAAGCAGCCAGCAAGTGCTCAGAATATCAATTGTTCCCCATTTCCTCTCAGCGAAACGGATTGCCACCCAGTCTAAGTATGGTACTGTTAGAGGTTTGTCTTCTCCACTGGTGCTCAATAGGGGATTTGTTTTGTTGCTTTCTACAATAATGTAAGGTCTTGACCTTTTAGTGCTCTTCAGATAGTCCCATTTACTGTGTTTGTGTGCTTTTAAGTCAGTAAGTGGAAGCAACTGGGACGCTGCAAAGAAGCATACAGCTGTGATATCTAGTTATTTTCTACACACTGAAAATAGTACCAATAAGAAAAAAAACCTTGAGTGGGTAGGTCGCAAATTTTAACTGCTGCTGGTTATGAATGTCTTGGCTGAAAAAAAGTTACATTTTATTATTATAATGACACAAATTCCATTAATAAAGCAAAATTGGTCAAAT